GGACATGGGGACCGAACCAAGGGCTTGGCGAATGAAGGCAAGTCAAGTGTCTTGCTGCTGAGCACCATCCAGTCCCTCACAACCCCTTAATTTCCCCAATAATAAAGTGGAGCTGATTATGAGGAAATTCCACTCTCACAGTCTGCAATATGGTAGATGCTCAGTCAATTCTCATGGCACCTAAGTCCCTGAACACCTGGTACCTGATGTATATATATATATCAGGATACTTTTCTAAAGGTTATCTCAAGTAAGACTATTTTTTTTTCAAAATTATATAAAAGATGCATTGAGGCAAAAGTAAAGCTGATAATTCTCAAGTCAGACTTTACGTCTCTGGAAGCTGGAGTTTCTTGCTCTCTGTGGCTTCATGCCCACTGCATTGCTGGCACTCCCCACTCCATGGGTCATTCTGCACCATGCCAAGCTGGGTCAGGAAGGATCACAAGGCCTGGGGATTCCCTCCAGTGTTCTGCCACCAGTCCCTTGCTAGAGGGGACTGGAAAGGTTGGAATTGATTGTTGATATCTACAAAGCACAATTCTCTCAAAAGATTAGGAAGATATGTTAAGAGAAGTAGCAGTCAAAAAGGGAAGTGGGAACACATACCCCAGTCGTGTTTGTCACCTCCAATGACTCATACCTTGTTCTTCCTTTATCTTTTTTCCTTTCCCTCCTCTTTTGATGAATGGAGAAAGACAATGGTATAGATACACAATGGAGTGTGTGTGTGTGTGTGTGTGTGTATATAATGTGTGTGTATAATATATATATATATATATATATATATATATATATATATATATTTTTTTTTTAAGATATTCTGGTCAGAAACTTCCTGATCTTCACCCCCCAGGCTATTTTCTCACTTTAACCAATTAAAGTGCTAGAAGCATAATTCATTCTTTACCTATAAACTGAAAACCCTATTCTGAGTCTTCTTTCCTATTTACAAAAAATATGCATATATCCGCATAAATACACACACATGAATGACAAAAAAGGTGGTGGTGGTGGAAATAAGTAGAAAAAAGATTAGAAGATGCAGGGACAGAAGTGCAAGATCACAATGAAAAGTCTTAAGCAAGCTGGAGACACTCTTGACCAGGCAGGAGCAGAGGGGAGGAGGCAGAAGGCAGCACAGTCCTGCTGTCAGCTGAAAGGGGAGGGGAGGAAAGACCTGAATTCCCTGCCATAGGGGTTTAAATAAAAGAAGTAACAAACAAAGGAAGTGTCTACAGAAGGTTGGTGACCAAGTTAGGAGGCTCCTGTCCCACCCCAGTTACCACAGAATGCTCATCTGTGCATGGTCTCCAGTCCTGGCTGCTCTGAGTGACGATTTAGTCACCCCAGAAAGGTGAACTTACATTCAGCATCCTCCTTTAGAAGGAAGTGTGCATACGTGTTGGAAATATTTCTAAAGGCAAGATGACAGTATTTGTGCAATTATAGATGAAGTTCCCATTTGTCCCCGAATTCTACTCGTGGAACTTCCTCCCAGAGACTTTTTCTTGCACGTGTATGAAAGGATGTGCACACAAGGTCATTTATTTACAATTGCCTTGTTAAAGAAAGGATAGGATAGTTTCATGTTGGAATAAGATACAGGGATAAAACAAAGCAAACCCGCTGGAAAAAACAAAGAAGTTTTATTATAGTTAGATTATGAGGTGTCCCCCCCAAAAACCCCTGTGTTAATGCAGGCATGTTCAGAGGTGAAATAATTATGAGAGCTGTGACCTGATCAGTGGATTAATCCATTAGATGGTTTAATAATTGGAAAGGATTACTCTACCAGCTGGTAACTGTAGACAGGGCATGGCTGGAGGAGGTGGCTCACGGTGGTAGGGGGTGTGTCCCCTGCAGGGGTTTATCATCCCTGCAGCCCCCTCCTCTCTTTCTCTTTCCCTCTCCCTGCCTCTTCCTCTCCCTCTCTCCTCCCCTCTCTCCTCTCCTTCCTGGCCTCCAAGAGTTCATCCATGATACTCCACCTCATCTTGGTCCAGAGCAATGAAAACTGTTGAGCATGGGGCTGGGGTTGTGGCTCAGTAGTAGAGCACTTGCCTGGCATGAGTGAGAGACATTGGGTTCAATTTCCAGTACCACATTAAAAAAATAAATAAATAAAGGTATTGTGTCCATCTACAACTAAAAGAATATTCAAACAAACAAACAACAACAACAACAAAAAAAACAGCTGACCATGAACTAAACTTCTGAAACCACAAGCCAAAATAAACTGTCCTCCTCTATTTGTTCTTCTCAAATACTTCTCAGGTATCTGGTCACAGTATCACAAAGCTAACTAGCACAGTCTGTAGGTGTAGATAAAGGAAACATCTCCAAGATTCATTGCTAAGACAGAAAAGGAGGCCTCAAACTGTTTGTACAGTATGCTACCCTTGGCATAAAAATTAGAAGGAAAATACTTAGAAATGTCTGTTTTTGCTTGTTTCTTTTCTTTTTTTTTTTTTTTTTTTTTTGTTGTTGTTGTTGCTGGGGATCAAACCCAGGGCGGGCCTTGTGCATGCAAGGCAAGCACACTCTCCCAACTGAGCTATAGCCCCAGCCTGGTTTTGCTTGTCTTGTCATAAAAACCAGATACACAGAGAATATCTGCAAGAAGAGTGAACTGAGTAAATGTGAGTAAAGGAAAACAAGATGGCTTTTCACAGTCTATCTTTGCGTGATGCTTTGATTTTGGAATCAAATCATGTTCACTCAAAAAATATTAAATTAGAACAAAAGATCCACAAAGTAAGGGTTGTAAATGGGGCAGCTGAATCCCATTTATCTAGAAATTATCTTTCCATCCCACATGGTGTGTTAGTCAGCTTTTGCATTGCTGTGACCAAGAGCCCTGACAAGAATAATGTAGAGAAGGAAAAGTTTATTTTGGCTCATGGTTCAGAGGTTCAGTCCATGTCCACCCACTCCATAGCTCTGGGCCCAGGTAAGGCAGAACACCATGATGGAAGGGTGGGGTGGAGGGAAGCTGCTTAGGACATGATAAGCAGAAAGCAGTGCTGTATTCAGTAGTGACGAAATATAAACCCCAAAGACATCCCTACCCCAGTGACCTACTTCCTTTAGCCACACCCTACCCACCTAGGGTCACTGCCCAGTTAATCCATTTTAGTATATTCATTCACTCATTAGGTTACACCTCTCACAATCCAATCACTTTACCCCTGAACATTCTTGCATGAGCTTTTGGGGGACACCTCATATCTAAAGCGTAACAATGGAGATTGTCATAGTATTTTCATATTGGAGAACCCTTAGTCATCCAACTCAGGTTTTTTGGAATTAGAGGCTGTCTACTCACACAATTGAAAAATAAGAGGTGGAACTGGCTTTGGGGATGGTACAGCACAGAGCACAGCTTTCTGTGACAGGCTGCCCAACCAACGGGCTTCCCAGGCACCTCGTGGCACCCTGGCTTCAACCACCCAGCACAGTGTTGGAGGTCGCTGCCACCCCCAATGTGAGTTAGGGATCCGGCTGCTCTTCATTTTAGAAAATGAATCTGCTGGGGGTGACCAAGCAGAGCCAGAAGCTTCTCCTCCAGGATTTGAGGCTGTGGTTGCTCTCTTGTGCAACAGACACGACACAGATGCATGACATTCTGGACTTGAGAATGCGGGGCATTCAGAGCCAGACCAAGAGTATGTGTGTGGGGAGACGGCTGGGCTTCCCGGCTTGCCAGACTCAGGGAGTGGGAGAGAAGGGGAGACCACTTATCTCCTCCCACTCCCCTTGCCTCATTCCAGGCCCAAACACCAGACCAGTATGTCTCCAGCTGAGTAAAAAATGGGAACATGGGACAATGCCACATGTAAGAGATGTTAGGAAACCCAAACACAGCACAACGTTGATGTACTTAATTTGGTTTATGAAATGCAATTTGCAATTTCTGTGGAATCCTCTGTGTTAGTGTTAAATAAAGGCAAGGGGGGTAGGGTGGGGGGACACTGAGGGACTTGATGAGGAATCAGAAAAACAGACTTCCAGACTGAATCTGTTGCCATCTGGCTATAGAAGCACTTGCAGGTCACTGAACCTCTCTTTGTGATAGTTTCCTCATCTGCAAAATGTGATAATTAACTGCCTGTTCAACCTCACAGAGGTTAAGTAAGAACACAAGAGCCTTGAAGAATATAAACATAACTTAGAAATTAACAGAAGGCATCTGCATTACCTCAATCGCTTATTTACTTTTTTTTTTTTTTTTTGGTTCTAAAAAGGTTATTAGCATGTATACTTTGATTTACTAAAGCAAGTTAGGATGGGTTGTGGGGGTCAAGGGAGACCTAGATTCCTCAGTGAAATAGGCTGCTTTTTGTATTTCCAAGGTCCTTTTCCCACACCTGAGAAACCACTTTCACTGACCAATCAGCCCTCTTCAGAGGACATGTGACTTAGTTCTGACCAATCAGAATACCACTCTCCCCTGGGCATGTGACTCAAGCCAGCCAATCAGGAACAATCAGCCAATCAGGAATGGGTTTTTGTTGGAACCACTTGGAATTCCTTGGTTTCTACTGGATAGGTTGGAGGCCCCAAGGTTCTAGAAGCCTTCTCCCTCCCAGGGAGAGGGGGAGCTACCTGAAAACCATGTCCATAGAGAGGAAAGCACTGATGAGAGGAGGGAGGAGATGGATTCCTGGGAACACTTCTTGATCCCCCTATCCCTGACGCCAGCTGCACTCTTGAACTTCCCAGCTTCCCAGGTTAGTAGATACCCATTTTTCCTTCACAAGGCTAGATTTCTGATGTCTTCAGCTCTAAGAGTCTTGACTGATATGATCTCCTGAGACTGTTTGAGAATCTCTACAAAGATAAACCGATAGTGACTACATGCAAAGCTACATGAATTAAGAAAACACAAGGTTTAAGCCATACCTTTGTGAAGTCCAAGAGGGTGTGGAATCATCTCCCAGATAAATATGCATCATAGTAGTACCAGGTGACATTTTATAATTAAACAGGGACACAAATTACTAAAATAAAGAAATATTTCATTTTATTTTCTTTTTAAGTCATGAGGGACAAGGAAAGGTGAGTTCATAAAAGTTAAAACATAATACCAAAATATGAATAAAACCAGCTTTAGAGGTTGCACGGAATCAGCAGAATGTGATTATCTGTAGTGATTTTGGGCCTTCTCAGTTTGCCCAGACAGGTGTAGCGTTTGGTCTAGCCCATGTAACAATTTCTGTGGTAACTGTCCAGAAGAGAGTTGTCATAGAATCATGGAGCCCAAACAACTGAAATGTTGACAGTACACAAAGCAAAACAGTCAACATCAACGGGGTGACACAATTGGTTTACATTAAAGTAACTAGTAAACTTGAATCAATAAATCCCATTATGCAGCACCTCAAATACCCTGAGTCATTCCTTCATTTGCTCATTCATTCGTTCATGCATGCACATTCAGTAACAACTGTTTAAGAAGCACCTATGGTGTTTCCAGGAGGTACTGTGTTGAATGCTGGGGTTACAAAGGTAAAGATTAAAGCACATTCTCTGCCCTTAAGGAGCGCTCAATCTAATTGTGCAAAGAGATGGAGATGAAGAATGACGGTACATCTTTCAGAAGTGCTGATAACAAGAGTCTGCTTCACAGAGAGACACTCCATGCGTTCACTCTACCATAGGGTCCACGGAAGAAGCATGCGGGCTCCTTTTCCTCTTCAGAATCAATGTCACTCTTTAGTTCCAGTGTTACAATAAGGATCCACAGCATTACAACAAGTTAAGTGGACCCAGAAGTGGTTATCAGCTTCCCATCACAGAGCACTTGGGGGAGTGGCAGTTGGTCACAGCAGAGGTGGCAGACTGCTTAGCAGAGTTAATAGGGAGCCGCAATGGGCTCCCCACTCCCCAGATGCCCTCCAAGGCTGTCCAGATGGGCTACTAAGCCCTTGTTATGTACCCTCAAGGTCTGCTCCCACATGGCCATACCCAAGGTTGTAGTCTGAGGGTCTTTGAAAGAGGGAATACCTTCTTGTCAACATTCCAAGAGCTGCTTCTTTCTCTAGAAGGGCTTTCTTTTCAGTTGCCATTGGTGATTTGGGTAAAAAGGCAGAGTCTACAGGTCCTGCTTAACCCCAAGGGCCTGACTCATATTTTCTATAGTGTTGTGGAACATTTGAGCACATACATTAAAAGGAGGAGAAAATAAACAGCACCTCCAATGCCCAGATCTTTCATCTGACCCTTCTCCTTTCTCCCTGTCTCTCTCTTGGACCTGAGTTCTCCTTGGTGTTTACAGGCATAAATGAATTTGAAAGATGTGAGTTTCAGCTTCTAAATCAGACTGTTATTCAGGTTACACCGTTATAGTAAAAGAGAGTTGTACAATTTCTAATCTGCCTCGCTGAACCCATCCCATGGGAATTCCCACTACTAGTGACTGCCAATCAGCAGCAGGGGACAGTTGCAGCCTTGTGGACAGGGAGAAACTGAAGAGGCAGAATTTCAAAACCCAGGGCTTCTGTATTCCGCTAATGCCACAGTGAATAATAGTAAGGCCTCCCCATAGAAGAATTTTTCATATTTCATCTAAAACCCAGAGTATCTTAGTGTAAATTTATTAACTGAATATTTGACATTTGGGCATATGATCATTATTTTAAGTTGAATTTTATAAATGCTCCTGAGATAACAGATGTATATAGTTAATTCTCTAAAAATGAAATTTTAAAATGAATATCCACGGATTTTGCTTTTTAATAAATGTACTAAACTTCAATTCCTCATTTAGTGTATTTCTATAGAACACTTGCACACAAAGACAACAAGCAACAGAATCTGTACAAAATAGGAGCTCTCCATTTTCTGTAATACCTTATCTTTTCTGTATAAGAGTTTATATAAAAAAGTGTCTACTTAGAAAAGTATAAAAATATTGCTACAATGTTATAAATGCTCTACATTCTCTAGGAAAACATACCTTTGTAAATAGTACAACTATAGGAATCTTGGTGAAATTCAAGTCCTGGATGTACCGCAAATGCATCCCAATCAGGGCGGCATCAAAACCTGTCCATCTCTGTGCCACTTCTAGAAACCATCTGTGACATTCACTGAGACAGAATCCTCTTTTCTTCAAATGTCACCATTGATTTCTGTGGATATCCTTAAGGTAACACTCTATTAAAAAGAAGAAGAAGAAAAAGAATAAAAGAAAAAAGATTTCAAAGAAATTGAACAATTCCAGGGCTAACCATGGAACTTCCAGCAGCGTTGCCCCACCTGAGTGGTGACCTCACTATGGTTTGTGCTATGTTTGATTTGGGTATTATAGAATTTTTCTTGGCTTTCTGTATTCTTTTAACTAATAAAATTCACTTGTTTCAAAATGTAAGACTTTCACTGCAGCCAAGTCTGCTAAGGTCCCAACCTTCTCTCTGCCTTGAGAACATTTTTGAACAACACACTTTTCCTTTTTAAAAAGACATATTTTCTGTTTTTTGGAATGAGTGAATCCTCTAAAACAATCAAGGTACATGACTTGTAGCATCTCAAGTGGCAGAAGGCATAGGAAAATTTCATTAATTGAGTGAACTATAGGGATGCTTCTCTTTGGAGAGAGAACTTACAGAATGGTAGAAAAAAAATCTCTAGCTACTCTTCTGATAGATGACTAATATCCAGAATATATAAATAACTCAAAAAACTCCAGTAAAACCCCCATTAGTAAATAAATAGGCAAATGAGCTAAATAGACACTTCCCAAAAGAACAAATACAAATGACCAATAAATATATGAAAAAAATGTTAAACATCATTAGCAATTAGGGAAATGCAAATCAAAACTCCACTGAGATTTTACCTCACACTAGTCCAAATGGCAGCCATCAAACAATAATAATTGCTGGAGAGGATGTGGAGTAAAAGGAACCCTTTCACATTGTTGGTGGGATTGTAGATTAGTACAACTACTATGGAAATCAGTATGGAAGTGCCACAAAAGACTAAGCAGGGAACCACCATATGACCCAAATATACCACTCTCCTTGGTATTTATCCTCAAGAATTAAAAGTCAGCATGCTATAGGGATTCCTGTATACCTATGTTTATTAGCAGCACAATTCACAATAACCAAACTACAGAACCAGCCTAGGTGTCCATCAATGGATGAATGAAAAGGTGGTATATATACACAATGGAGTTTTATTTTAGCCATAAAGAAGAATGAAAGTACATATTGCAGGAAAATGGATGAACTTGAGAATATTATGTTAAATGAACTAAGTCAAACTCAAGTCAAGGATCATATGTGTTTTCTATTATGTGGAAGCTAGAGAGGGAGAAAAGGAAAAGAAAGGTACTAGGGGGAATCTTGAGAAAATTGAAAGGAGACCAGTAAAGTAGAGGAAAGGGATCAGGGAAGGAGAAGGGAAGGGAAAGGGAAAATACTGGGGAACAATATTGACCCACTTACATTGTTATATCATGTACATGTACAAATATGTAACAGCAAATCTCGCCATTACGTATAATAGTAAAATATGTGTATTAATTATTATATTTATTAATTATGCATAATTATTATACATATTAAATATAGAAAAAAAGATGCTTCCCCTTTGGGAATAAGTTAGTAAACTAAGTTGCACAATATATATTTTTCAAACACATCAAGAATAAAAACAAACTGTTCTTTTTAAATTCAATAATTTTTTTCTAAATTATTTTTACTAATCCCCAATTGTCAGCAATTTGTAACATCTGAACTGATAAATACCTACCTGAAAATCTTGGATGAATGTTAGGAAGTAGAAAATAAAACCAAAGGCCACGGTCCATTCACAGATTGCGCTCACTACATGGTACACATAATCCTAAAAGCGATAATAAGGAAAGAGAATTTAGCCTAAAAAATACCCACTTAGCACACAACCTGAAATAATAATGAGACAGACCAGAGGTGCGAGAAGCTGTCCAGAAAGCCTAAACCAGAACCTTGAGGAAACAATATAAGCAAGACCACATAGATAAACTTTAGGGACTGGCCCAATAAGAACAGGAATGGAGTGATCCTGAATATTCTCTCTGGCACTCACACACTCCGGTTTTAAGACAGTCTGCATAACTTCAAAAGGCAAAATATGGACCACAAAACAGTTAAGACTGGGAAGGAAATTTAGACTCAACAGAAGAAAGAACTTTCCATTTAAGGCATGCCTTGGTCTCCCGCAGTTGGGAATCCCGTAGCTGAAGGGCACGTTTAACAAGCATCTAGTCTGCGCTCCTGCGGTTATTCCAAAGAATGACTGTGTGCATCTAGACAAGACAAAACATAAAGCCCCCACTGGGTTTTAAGTTTCCCTGTAACTGGAGAAATCGCTCATTCAGCAGTCAGTTCTGCTTATGTCAAAAGGTAAATAAAGCTGCAAAGCAAATGCTAGTAATGAGACTTCCACAGGACACCTGCATATCTTCTCCAAGACAAGGAGAAGAATGAGAGCCAAGAATCAAAGTGGCTTTCATGGGGGTTTCCAAGCTCAGTTGCTTATGGAGGCCAGGAAATTAATAAAAATAAATGAAACTGATGGTTGTTAAGCGAAAGACAGAAAAAGGAGCCCATTTCTCATCAACTCAATTCCACATTCACAAAATGGGAAAATAATACCCCAGTGCTTCTTTGAAAGAAGTTAAAAAAAAAAAAAGTCTATTTGTGTGCATGCATGTGTATGTGCACATGTGTATGTGATCTCCTGTTTTGTTTTGTTTTTTTTTTATGCTGGAAACTCATTTCAAAGCATTTTAAAATTCCATCTAAGTAAGGAAAAAAACGCATGTCTGCATTTTAACTTTAGCTCACATGCCAAACTAGGCCTGCAGACTCTTAGTTTACCCCCTCTGATTTCAAATAAGGTTAATTGTTTTTCCTACTTCACTTTCTGCTCTGCTATAGGTTACATGTGTGAGTAAAAACGTGTGCTGGGTTGCTAGTCAGTTCCATGGCGACAGCTCTTTTCCTTGACCCTGTTTTCATCCCATAAAGATTTAACAGATTTATCAAACTCGAGCAGACATCACTTTTGGCTGTCTCCAGGGACACATCCATCCATTGTTCTCATTCCAGGGCACACTGGGGAAAACCTGGCCAGCCTGCATTAGGAGTGGAGAACAGAGGCTTCCTCTTTTTGATGCCAGCAGCAGGGGACATGTCCTATCCCATATCATCCCTGGACAATGAAGATGGCTTATTAAAAGGAGGCATAAAAAGGGGTGGGAGAGGACATTGACGTGAAGGAAAACATATTAAAATCTTGACTTTGAAAAGAAAAAACAAACAGAGACACAATGGCAGAGGGTACGGGGGATGTCTTCAGCATCATATTAATACAAGTTCCGTGGAGTGGCTTCATCCAAATGTGAACACAGGCCAAGCTCTGAACTCCTCGCTCGGTGGGATGAAACAAGGACCTATTTCTCACCCTCCCTACCGAGTAAGCCCATGCACATAGGTATGCAGTGAAAGCTCTAAAATACTATACAGAAATCTGGGGCAGTACCTAAAATGATTATTCTTTTCAGGTAATTAATGTAAAGAGGTTTATGTTGTTGTTTGTTTTCTGATTTTGCAGCCATTGATACTGGAAACAGAAGGAAACACCAAAGTGGCACAGAAATTTATAGACTGAATAGAAAATCAGGTACTTTTCACACTTTTAGATAGCAAATGGAAGGTGACAGATTTTCAGAGACCTGGGGATATGCTTTGTGGAGCCCTTGACTTGTGGTGGAAGGTCGCCCCCCGGTGGTCTAATAGTAAAGTACACCTGGGCCTGCTCTGCTGTTTGGTGTCTTGTCAGGAGGACGTTCCCCAGTGGAAAGAGGAGCCTAAGACCCTTTGGATAGGAACTTATTTCCCCCATTCAGAAAAAAAAGTTGCCTTTTTCTAGGTCTAACCTCTTGGATAATCTGGATATCGTCCTGTCATATTCAAAGGAAGTGTTTTTTGAATTCTTGTCTGGATTATTCTCTTTCTTACCACCATCTTCAGTCCCATCAGCAACCTCGATGGAGAGCTAGTATCCTCTGTCTTGGGGAACCCTTCCTCTGACCCAGCTATCCCCTCTAGCCAACCACCGCATTTTTCCCCAGCAAACATATGTTGATAGCTGAATGAGTGAACCACCCTTCGTTGCCCAAATTCAGGGATCTTGTTCCATTCCTAAAGGCTGTTCAGCTCCATCTACCATGATTAATCATTTCCCTTTCTTTTGAAAAAATGCCCTCCTCTTGCTCTCTGGGGTAATATATCTTCTTCTCATTTCATAGTGAGAATTCATGTTTCAAAGAACCAAATTTGGCAGTGGACAACTGGTTGTTTGCCCCCACTAAACTATAGGCTTCCTTGGGGACCTGCCACCCTATAGCTGACCATCCCCACCCCAGCATCCCTCAGCACAATCTTGCTTGCAATAGGGACTTGGTCAGTGAAGTCAGCCCAGTATTGCCCAGTTCTGATTCATGACTGATTCACTTCTTGATTCATGACTCTTCTTTTTACTTCTTTTTTTCTGGGTACAGTCCTTCACCTGCCCTTTGGAAAACAATCTACTGCTGTTCTCTCACTAAATCCCTTCTCTCCTGGGGCATCATTCATTCAATCTCCTATACCACATCTGGATGAAGCACTATCATAATAGTTTCATGGCATGGGGTGATCTCAATTTCACATACTTGGGTACAGGCGTTCTGCTATTTGGTTTGGAAATTATTGGTCACTCTATTCTATGCCATGAGGGCTCTTGACCCTACCAGAGATCTAGCTTCACATTTTTAACTGGACATTCAGCCTTGATTTTTCCCTGTAGCCTCAGACACCAGTGGCTGCAAAACCAAACACATCCACTTCTGCCTGTGAAATCATTTATCCCTGATAAAGACTGTATCTCTGTGGTCATGGAAATAAATTATTTGGTTCATCCAAAATAAAGTCTTGGAAATCATTTTTGATTCATCATGTCTCTTCATTCTCAAGTTAGCCATGTGCAAGTGCTCATCCAATATTTTTATCCTATCATTTCCAACTGAGGTTCATCTTGATTTGAATCTCAACTAGTAGAACTGTCTGCTTCTGGTCCTGCTAATGCCAAACTCTCTCTCAAATCTGCCCCAGATGTTGCTTCTACCTAATATTTGTCCAATAATACTCACTCAATTTCCTTTCCTGATCAGAAGGTCTTCAAAAAGCTTAGTCTGGCCAACTTAGTCAAGTTGAACCTCTGTCAGCCTCCAAAAGTCACTGCTTCCTTGCAAAGTTACCCCTGATTATATTAATTGTCACTGTGTCCTGAAGTGAACTGTCCACTACCCTGAATCTTGTCTTGTCCTCTCTGATGAACATTCTGCACTTTATCCGACCTCCATAAACCTTCATTCACATTGTCCCCTACCCTTTAAGTTCCAATCTCTTACTAAGCCCTAAAGGTTGAAGTGTGTAAGAAAGAAATAAGGAATTCTAAATTTTGAAAATAATTTCAGGAACCATTTGGGATTATCCCAATAACTAATGTTAAGCAAAAGTTATGGGAGGCCTAAGCTCCTACACTAGGCCCCTAACAGATCAGACCAAACCAAAATGGAGTCACTTATGCTAAGTGCCACGTAATCCACCTGAAACTTCAAGAGAGCAGATAGAGCCCCAAACTGAGAATTTTTTTCCTGAAGACAGGAGATTTCCATTTACCTGAGCCTGTGTAATAAAGAAGTCTCTTCTGCTTAAAAAATAATGTGAAGTAGCCCCATGTGAGCCAATCAAACTTTCCCCATTGTTCTGTTTCCTTGTTCCCACTTTACAAAACCTACTGTGCCGCTGCTTCATGGAGCTTTCATTCTATTTTATAGAATGGACCCTGCCTCAGATTCAGGAATTTCAAATAAAAGCCAGTTAGATGTATAACTAAATTTGTTGTAATTTTGTCTTTTGAAGCTATTTACAACACACACATTGTCAAGTAATTGAGCAGTAAGTTGATTACATGACACATTTACCCCACATTTTGCAACCTGTTCTAAGAAATGACAGTGATCCTTCCTAGGATTCAGCCAGCCACAATCTCTCATAAACAGGATCAACATCATCTTGAGAACAACTTAAATGTTACCTTTTCTTTTGGATTCCACTCCAGTTTGGTCATAGAAATTAGTGAAGCACAGGCAATCACTTTTTAAAAAGAGAACATTGTTAAGGAAACTACAGAAGAAAAAAAAATGGTTCTATAATACTAAGACAATTCTAGTAGAATCATTACATGGTGTTAAGATATTAATAACAACATTGCTACAATCAAACCAGTTTCTATTGATTTCTGGTAATCTCAGACCTTCTAATATGATAGTAGCTAAATTACAACAGAAATGCAGTCATACCTTAGTGATACTTTTTCAGTTACATGTAGCAGAATTTTAATTTGCAGTTTGACCCCCAGTGTTTGTTGGTGTTCCCACTTAAATTGGCTGTTGAAAGCTGGTCAAAATGGCTGACAGGACAGTCCAAGATGGGTCCTTGTTGAGTACTTACTAAGTAAATAAAAATACATCTTCCCTAAAAATATTATTCTCAAGGTAACAGCTGTAAGGAAAATTTAACATTTTATATGCAAAAATAAGCTACAAAAATTCAAACTGCTACCTGTTAAAAACAGACGTCTGTTGCATAACTGGGTATAAGTGCAGCCCTTTCTCTTGACACAGTTTCCACATCAAAGACATTCAGCCTACTTCAGACTTTCAGGCCAAGCCTTATAAGGCCAGGGGCCCAGGCTCCTGCCCTCCCTCCACACTACTATCTGTACAAAAGGTGGTGATCAAATTTAGAGGGTAAAATAGAGCTGGGCATGGTGGTGGTACACCTGTGATCCCAGGTGCTCAGGAGGCTGAGGCAGGAGGATTGCAAGTTCAAAGTCAGTCTCAGCAAGTTAGTGAGGCCCTGTCTCAAAAAATAAATATAAAAAAAAGGAGGCTGGGGATGTGGTTCAATGGTAGAACACCCCTAGGTTCAATCTCCAATGCCAAAAATAAAGGCAAAAAAAAAAAAAAAAAAGCTAAAGGAACAGAAAGCTCTATGGAATCTACCAAAAATTAGGACTTCAAAGCACTGAGTCAATGCAAATTTACGGCCTTCTCTGAATTCAGAGTCAGCACATCCTCTCTATGTCTCGTCTTCATATTTTGCAATACTTAACACTTCCCAGTTTCTCAAAATAAAAAATTGAGAGCATCAAAGATTTATCATTTCATTACCATACCTCTGTGTGCAATTGTTTAACAGCTACTAATTATTTTGTTTATTTGTTCTTTAGTTTCATCTTCAGTACACCAGGTACTGCACTGGCTTGGGAGCGAGGGGAAAGAAACCCCAGCAAAACAGAAAAGGTGAAAAAGGATAATCCAGTGCAGGAGAAGAGCGTGGGCAAAAAGAGAACAAGAAACAGCCAGGCTTAGGGGACAAAGTGTAACATGAAGTTGGAGAAATAGTAGCTCATGATCAGATCATGTGCTTCCTGCAAAGGAATCTGGACTTTATTCTGCTAGTGATCGTGAAGGCTTTCAAAAGCATTAGAGGTCAGTGCAAGATGAACAATTCAGCAGGAAAAGTCCAGAAGTGTGACTCTAAATGAGTGTTCTCATTCAGAGCCTCAGTTTCATTTCACAAGAATGACCCAGGAAGAAGAAAGCGGGCATTTTGAAGATGCTTTGAATCCTTTGTAAAGAAATATTATTACCATGCTGAAGTTGAAGACATAGACTTTTTCATATGATAAAAATTCATTTTAGTTAATTTGCTCCAGGGACATAACCACTTCTGTTTGGGGCTGCAAGAGCCTTCTAGAATGAAATCTATTACTTTAGAAAACTCTTGAGGTCTGAAATGTTTATTTTGCTAAAAATTCTATGATTTTAATATCTGGGGATCTGTGTCTAAAAGTTGGAAGCAAGGAAAGATTTTATACCAAGAATCTGCTTTTAGCACTATGTATACCTATAGTGCACACACTATAAACACTATACATTTTACAACACAAGCTGCCAGTTTCAAGGAGATATATTTAATGAGAAAGCATGAGCATCTTCGACCCATAAAAAGACTAGGAAATTGAGAAGGCATTATCTTAGGAACAAAACAACTGGTAAATTTCTCAGGATTAGAGAGGAGGTCCTGTGCTTCGAAATTTTGTAATTAAAAATTTCCTTCCATAGCTGGGTGTGATGGCACATACCTGTAATCTGGGTGACTTGGGAAGCTGAGGCAGGAGGACTGTAAGTTCAAAGCCAGCCTCAGCAACTTTAGTGATACCTATCTCAAAATAAAAAATAAAAAAAAGGGCTGGGAATGTGCCTCAGAGGTGTATTCCCTCTGGATTCAATCCCCAGTACCAAAAAAAAAAAAAAAAAGAAAAAAGAAAAGAAAGAAAGAGAGAGAGAAAGAAAAAGATTTCCTTAAGATTTAAAAAAAAATAGACTTCTTATTTTGTATAACTTCTATTTTAAAAGAAAAATACAAATCTCAATGTGTAGAAACACACATGATGTATTCAAAATGCGTTCTCAAGCTTACCTACTTTATACCATAACCCAAACCAAACTAATGAAATTGCCACTTATTAAATAGTTTCAATTTTTCTACAATTTGACATTAATCATCACTTTTAAGAACACTGTAGCATTCTTTAATATGACCACAGTTGGTATTTTTAAAGATGCTTCACACCTTAAAGACCACAGTTTTTTTATTTTCTTGGTTAAAAACTTCATTAAAGAAGAGAGAAAAAGAAAAAAAAAGGACAAAGTTTCATTTCCTCTAAATCAGAATATATAATCATGACAAATTCATATAATTTTTTTCACATTGCTGAATTAGAAAATGAATTTTATTTTGAACTACAAAAAGACTAACTACCTTTTAATTGACTTAATCAGTGATGGTTTTTTCAACATCTCAGTGTGAACACTTGGGACTTCACAGGATTATTGCTTTAAGTTCAATATCAATATTTGGTATCTTCAGCCAAGCACTACAAAGAAAACTAAATATTTTCAAATGGCTCATGAAACTAGACTGTGGAAAGGAAAGTAAATAGAGACTGAAGTGTTCCTACATTGTTCCATTCCCCTTTCACACCATTTCCCCCCCAAAGATTCGTTTGATCTAACCAGACCAAGTTGAGATGTTTTCTTAATGATTTACAGTTTTCTCCTGTTTGTTGTTCTGAAGAATGTGGAAACTTGGTTTTATCCTTTGATTTTTTTTTTTTCATGCCTTTGGAGAGGGTGTCAAACTTGCTAGGACACTATAACAAAGATTCTTTTCTTGGCCAAACTTTGAACTCCTGAAACTTCTCCCAAGTCCATCTGGACACTTCATTCTAAAATCCAGTTTTATCCCAGCACAATGACACACGCCTGTAATTCCAGTGACTCGAAAGGCTGAGGCAGGAGCATCACAAGTTCAAGTCCAGCCTGAGCAACATAGTGAGACCCTGTCTCAAAATAAAATAAAAAGGGCTGGGGATGTAGCTCAGTGGTACAGCATCCTTGAGATCAATCCCCAGTACTGAAAATAAATTTTTTTAAAAAGAGAAGAATTAGTTAAGCCAGCATCCCCCACTGCTACCTCTGACCCTGCCCCGCTTCTTTGGCTAAAAATTCCCACTTGCCAAAGCTGTATTGGGAGTTCAGCCCAGTCTCTCTCCCCTGCAAGATGTGCAGTGGTCTCCACCTATCACTATGGCCTAAAACGAAGTCCTCCTTACCATACTTTAATAAATGCCATTAATTTTTTTTTTTTTTTTTTGCTTTAGCAACTGACAAATGTGAAAAGGATACTGGGGACAACAGCTGCACAGGAAACAGCAGAGATGGCCATGCGTATGTGGCATGTCAAGAGGCTGTTCCACTGTGGACACGATTTGTAAGAGATGATGGATTGCAGGAGCGTGTACACCACACCGCAGACAAAAGCCAGAAGGGCGCCCCCGTCGTGGACCACGGGCACAGCTAACTCCTGGAGAGAAAATCACAGATGTGTAACAACTTGTATGAGACTGCCAGCATTAAGCTTTGAATTCTCAGTCACTCCCGATGCTCCAAGCCACTGTTTGTCACAGATGCACTCGTCCTTGGAAAATGTGGCTGCTTCCAGAAGAGTACCAATTGCAAAATAAATGCCAACAACTGGGTTGTTCCCTAGCAAACCTGGGCATGTGGAACAAGGAAGGAACAATGTTTACCTTGGAGGTAATGGACTTTGACCCTTACAACCTCAATCTCTGTATCTATAAAATGGGCATAATCATTCCTGCCTCACAGGTTTGTGGAGAAGACTATATGACACATCTCATACAAAAATATCATTTAGAGCAGGGGATGTCGCTCAGTGGAAGAGCACTTGCCTAGCATGTACAAGGCCCGAGGATTCAATCCCCAGGACTGCAAGCTGGGCGCGGTGACACATGCCTGTAATCCCAGTGGTGTAGGAGGCTGAGACAGGAGGATCTCAAGTTCAAAGCCAGCCTCAGCAACCTGGAGGGGCAAGCAACTCGGTGAGACCCTGTCTCTAAATAAAATACAAAATGGGGCTGGGGACGTGACTCGGTGGTCGAGTGCCCCTGAGTTCAATCCCTGGTACCAAAACAAAACAAAAGGAAAAAACCCAGACTGCATTAATACTTTGTCATATATTAATTATTCATTTACTAAATATGGATTTTGAGTACCTAGAACACTTAGCATGAGAATACAGATTCAGGAATGTTACACACAAAAAATAAAATACACTTTATGCCTTTTAAAATGAGTATAAACTTTTAAGTATATAAAGAATTCAGGGAAATACCAAAAAATATGCCAAAAAAAGGTTAAGATGGTAAATTTTGTGTATATTTTAAATACAATTAAAAATAATTTTAATAAAAAAGAATCAAAATAAATTACTTTCTTCCCCTGAATGTTAGGCACATTTGGTTGACAAGAAATAAAAGGCAAAGCATCTGCAGCTAATGAGTCAGTTTCAGGAATAATCTGAGAATTCTGGTACTTTCCATTCTTACTTTCCTTTTCATGCAAAGTAAATCAACATCTTGAATTGGTATCCTTTATTTCCTTTCATAAATACTGTCAGGGAATTTCCTTCCTTAGCCCCAGCCAATTCAACATGTCCATTACAATCTTAATCCACAAATTGCATAACTCTATATTAACACTGATGTTATCAGACCCAAAGGCCCTAGACTCAGCAGGAACTGTCTCTATAGTGATGTCTTTTAGAAGGGAAAGGATTCTTAGGTCATATATGAATTCTGGGTAAAGGATGAGATAAAAACGTAGCATCTTTTTTAGACAACTTTTTAGAAACTCTTGCAAATTTAAAAGATAGCAAAACATAGAGCCAGGTACCATGGTGCACTTCTGTAATCTCAGTTGAACAGGAAGGTCTCAAATTTGAGGCTAGCCTGGGCAACTTAGTGACCCCTTGTCTCAAAGTGAAAATTAAAAATTTAGCAATTTAGCAAGACCCTGTCTCAAAATAAAAATTAAAAAGGGTTGGGGAGATGCTGTGGTTGCAGTTCAGTGGTCTAGCACTTGCCTAGCACGTTTGAGGAACTGGGTTCAATCCTCAGCACCACATATAAATAAATAAACAAATAAACAAACAAATAAATGTATCCATCTATAACTAAAAAAAAAAAAATTTTAAAGGGGGTTGGGGAAGTAGCTCTGTGGTGAAGTGCCCATGGATTCAATTCCCAATTCCTGGAGGGGGAAAAAAAAAAAAGAAAAAAGAAAAGATAGTAAAACATAGAGAATACTAGACCCAACAGGGCTATACCTTGAAAATGTTCTTTTCTAAAAAGAACAATTCTTTTTTTAATTTTATTTTTAATCTACAAGTAATAATTATATATATTTATAGGATTTTGTACATTTTTATATATTTACAATGTGGAATGATTGAATCAAGCAGATTAACATATTCATGACTTCACAGTTATTTTTATAATCAGAACTTATAAAATCTGGTGCTTTAACAATTTTGAAATATTCATAATTATTAATGTTAGCCATCATGCTATATACAATAAATCTCATTCATCCTGTCTGAAACTTTGTACCATTTAACCTCACTGTTCCCAGCCCCTGGTACTGTTCTACTCTCTGCTTCGACTGTTAGATTCCACCTATAAGTGAGATCTTCTGTTATCTGTCTTTTATGTGTCTTGCTTATTTCATATTTAACACAATGCCCCATTCCGTCTCAAATGACAGAATTTCAAAAGGAAACTTCTGAAGGGAGAATAAAGTATTGACAGAAATTAGTGAGGATACCCTCAAAAGCAGGCATTCCACCCACCCACTCACAGAAAGAGTTATCTGTGAGCTTCTCATAAATGTGATTATTACGACTCAAGAAAAACCACGAGAGCCAGTCACGCTCTCTCTTGGCCTCTCAACTCAAATTCTTCTCGAGGTAGCAGCTCAAGTCGGCCTGCTGACGGCATGCTAGAAATGAATTACAGGATATCAAACAAGGAAGTCGTAAAGATGCACTTATGGGAACACTGCCAAGGCAAATACTTTGTTCCCAGGGACTGTTAAAAAAAATTCTATTTTCGGTCTCTATAAACATTTGATAACTTCATGGAAGCCTTAAAAATAATCAAAAATTCGATTATCTAACCATCTAAGTTTTCTTTCTAAAGCCTGCCCTTTATGGTTTAAAAAATGACATCTGTATGCCTTATGTGGTGCTGAGTTATTCAAAAGATGAAATAATGTAAGTACATGGTACCCCTCCCAAATAATTCAGACCCACACTGGATTCCACAGTTTATATCATTCCAAGCCACCCCTTTTTGACTTTTTCTTTTTTAATCATGTTTTCTGATGGTAGAGATATGTGCTATAAACAGTCACCCCTCAGGATCCACAGGAGATTGGTTCCAGGAACCCTATCAAACAACATAATCCACAGATGCTCAAGTCTCATGTAAATTTGCATAGTATTTGCATATAGCCTCTGTACATCCTCCTGTATACTTGATTTAGTCATCCTTTAGATTGCCCATAATACCTAATACAATGTAAATGCTGTGTAAATAGTTGTTATACTGTTTTTTAGGAAGTAATAATGAGAAAAAAGTTTAAGTTCAGAACAAATGCGATATTTTTTTTCTGATTATTTTCAAGCTGAGCTTGGTTAGATTTAGGGATGGAGATCTGATTATACTTAGTTTTTCCTCACAGATAATTTCTTCATTTGAAATAACTCTTCATTGAGAATAACTCTTTTCCACAGTTCTGGACAGATTGCTTCAATTCGAAGGTCACCTCTGCCACACATTGCTCATAGGATATTGGGCAAGTATTAGCCTGTCTGGGCCTCTATTTCATCATCTGTAAATAGGGAAAGGAAGAGTGCCCACTTATAAGGCTTTTATTGGAATTGCATGATTTACAGTGTGGGATATTTTCATACATATGTCTGTCATGCAGAAGAATCCCAATAAATGTTTGTTGTTATGAAAAACAGAATACATGCTCTATCATATAAAACATAAGAAAATGCCATAAAAAGCCCAAGTCACATGACAAATGATCCACACCACCACTGCAGCTCTCTGTGCTGCTCTGAGAAGCAAATTTAAGTGCACAATATGCCCCCCTGTGAAACCTAATACACTTGCTTCAGGGGAACTATAGATTTGGCTCTCACTTTTCTAGCCTCACCATTAACAACACGGAGACACTAATAATCACATGATTTATAACATCCAAAAACTAAAATGAGTTGAGACCTGAGAGATTATCCATGGCCTGTGTCATATTGAAGATACAATATAAGGAAAGGGACTGGTCTGTGTCATATTGAAGATATAATATAAGGAAGGGGGCCTTTCCCCATAAACCTTTGGTAAGTACAGGAGTGAATTTCCTGGGGCACAGTATTATAATGACCTCCCCCACCATGAGAAGTGCAGAGAAAGGGATTTTATGAGGCCCACCGGGGGCCTTTTACACTGAGGACTCTGTTTTTGATGATCCGACTTCATGCAGGAGAGGACACTAGAGACTGAATGGACAGCGGATCATACAGGTGGAGGACTGTGGTTATTTAGTGTACAGACACATGCTCTAGCAGTCTGCTGGAAGTGAAGGCTGCCATCTTTATTTGTGAAAATAACATTGTACAAGGTCACCCCTGATGGGAAGACAGTTAAAGAAGTACCCCAGGCAGAAGCCAAGGTCCTCCTGGAGTAACGCCATTCTGCTCTCACAGAGACAACAGGTGAAGGAGAGCACAGGTCCATCTTAATGGTAACCTGTGATGATGAACCAATAATGACCACAATAGCCACCAGGTATAGACTGCTGGCTGTGGTAGATTATCTGATGGAATCCTTGCAACAATCCCTAGAGGTGGGCATAAGTAGCAGTAGTGGTAGTAACTTGAAATTTAACCAGTATTTTTAAAATATTAAATATTGTCTCCATAGACAAATAATATGAGCAGAAATCCATAGAGTAGAATAATGATGTTTTTTTCCATATACCTCACACATTGAGAATATATCAAGTAGACTCTGCATAGAAGTTAATTTTCTCTGGGGGCCATATTTTGATTCTGAGACTCATTAGCTAAATAATCCCAGCAAATGACTTAACCTCCACTAACCAAACCTTGACTGCAAAAGGAAGAGATCAGATGCTGCTCTTTGAATGCCAGATGGAGTCTACTGAATGGTGGAATTGGTAAGCACACATAAATATCTTCATACTCAGTAAAATCAATATGATGACTAAGTAGCTCTCCCTGTATCAAACCACACCAATATGAAATGGATCAATGCAAAGGCCATAGCATTTGTTGGAAGCGCACACTCCTAATTGTACAAACATGTACCCCTTCTCTCCCAAGGATCAGATAAGACCAATGTCCCAATGTCAAAGATTTATTCCTAAAAATTAATCTCATCCAATTTTGGGAAACTCATCAACCATTTCACAGCTCTCCTGGCACAAGCGTGCTGCTTGGGTTCCTGCTTCTCTCCTCACACATTGTCCCCAGTACTGAGAAAGCCACAGACCATACCTGAAAATTTGCTACAATGCCCATTCCGATACATCCCACCAATCCAAGAACTAAGGACACCAAGTTAAAAACAGGAGTGCCGAAATAGCTGGTTTGATTTTGCTTCTCTACTATTTTATATCTCGTGTACATCGTGGCTGCACCTGAAAAAGAAAGGCACTTTGATGAAATTTTCATGATTTGATTTTTTTTTTTTTTGGAATGAAAAACTTAGAAGCAGTTTTTAACCATTTGTTAAAATGGTCCTGATTATGGCTATAACTGTAGGTAAGCGCTAGAGTACTTGCCTAGCATGCATGAGACCCTCAGTTCAATCCCCAGTACCCACCTCAAAATAAGTCCTGATTGCAATGCCTCCCTATTTGCCCATCCCTGTCCTTTCCCCCACCCCATTTTAGTTTCTCCCCAGTGTGATGGAATAAATAGACAGAAACATACACACCCCATTGTGGTTGTTATTTTTTCACATAAAAGCCATTATAGTATATGTATTATTCCGTCTTGCTCTTCTCACTTAACAATGTACCCTGGAGATTTTTCCAAGTCAGTACAAACAAATCTACTTCGTCATTTATGAAGGGTCTTATAGTATGAGATACCATATTTATTTCATTATTCTTTTACAAATGGATTTCTATATTGCTTCTCTGTTTTTTCAGTTATAAACAGTGTTCAATAAACATCTTTGGATATAAATCTTTGGGCACTCTATCAGGTATTTCTGAAAGGCCAGTTCTTAGAAGTAGTTATTACTGGGTCAAGAAAAAAAAACCCACACACAATTAAAATGCTCAGAAGCACTTCCAGATTGCTCTAAGACAGTAACAATTTATACACCCATCAGCAGAACTGGAGAGCAATTTTGTATACACTTGCCTTTTTAATTATTGTCAATCTAATGAATAAAAAATGGCAACCAGTTGGTTTAATTGGCATCTTCCTAGTTATTACTGTGATTTAGCAATTTTCATTGTATCTACCAGTCATTTTCATTTCTTCTTCTGAGAATTGCATGTTTTAATTTTTTTTCCTCATTTTCCTCTTGGTTTTGTTTATTCATTTGTAATTTGTGGTTGCTTTTTACACATTATGTCCACTAGTCTAAATCTGCTATAAATATTACAAATTTTCCTCTGATCTGTTGTCTTTTAACTTCATTTCTGATACCTTTCATTGTTTAGAAGTTTTCATTTTTTTACCTACTCAAATCTGTTAACTCGTATCTATGCTTTGTGTATGCTCAGATAAGTTTTTTCATCCCAAGACTTTTTTGGAAACACTAAACTTCTCTTGCACTTTTGTTTTTTATATTAGTTCTTTAATTGCAACTGGTTTGTGTGAGATGCTTAGAATGTGAACGTTGGAGGCAGGGTGCAATAGTGTACACCTATAATCCCAGCTACTCTGCAGGCTGAGGCAGGAGGAACACAAATTGAGGCCAGTCTGGGCAAATCAGCAAAACACTGTCTCAAATTTGAAAAAATAAAGAAAACAAGAAGAAAGGAAGAAGAGAGAGAATTTGTGGGATAAATACATAGCTAACATAATTTTAGATATGTATTCCCTTTAACTCAGCAAGCTTACAGAAATAGTCACCTCAATACACAAAGATATGATTAAAAGGACATTCACTTCTACACTGTAATTACAAAATATGAGAAAGAGCCTAAGTGTTTACCAATAGGAGACACACTGAATAAATTAAAATACCATACATCCACATGATAGATATTAGTCATGTGTTAAAAGGATAAGGTAACCGGGTACAGTGGTGCATGCCTGTAATCCCAGAGGCTCTGAGGCTAAGACAGGAGGATCATGAGTTCAAAGCCAGCTTCAACAAAAGAAAAAAATAAAATAAAACTAAGCAACTCAGTGAGACCCTGTCTCTAAATAAAATACAAAATAGGGCTGGGGATGTGGCTCAGTGGTCGAGTGCTCCTGAGTTTAATCCCTGGTATCTGTGCTCCATCCCCCCAAAAAGGATAAGGTAAATTTGCATGTATTGACATAATGATGATTATAATATTTTGCTATACTTTAAAAAGCAGGCTAAAAATTAATAATTCATCATAACTTTTATTTTTATTGATTATAATTATACATAATAGTGGGATTCATCCTGACATCTTCATATAAGCACAGAGCATGATTTGGTCAATCTCATTCACCAGTAACTACCTTTTCTCTCCCCCAATACTCTTCCTATACTCTACCATTTTTAAAAATTTGTGTATTATAATTATACATAAAGGTAAAAATCATTGTATATATATTATATATTCATAGACTATTTTAAATAAATATATTCATGCCAGCTTCTGCATGGCCTAGAAGCAAAAGCCATATTTATCATTTGCTGTTTCAAAATAATTTCAGTCTTCTAAGTCTGAACTCTTGGCAAGGGATGGTGTAAGAGGGACTGAGATTGAGACTGACAGACCCCCCCCCCCCCATTTCCACTTCTCTTTGTTTACTTCCAATTCCATGGGAGAAGATCCCAAATGGGTGACAAGACGAAACATACTCCCTACCAAGTGGCATGAACAAAGATACCCAGTTACCAAGCAGAGTTTCCAGTACCTCTGTCCCTTCTTACCTGCACCAATGGAGAGGGACAGAAAGTGCTGGTTAACCACAGTTCCTTGGCAACCTGATTGTTCCACAGGGTAGGGGATTATGAAAGGATTAAGAGAAAAATCTCTACATCTTACATCTACCTACTCAGATCCCCCTATAGTACACTGAGTTTTACATCAAAAAGTAGTTGTGATATTACATTAATTGACTCACAACAGGATTGTATCCCATCAATTGCACCTCAGGTGGTTTTGAGGAACTGAAAAGAAAAATCATACTTGTGTTGGAGACAAACTATTCCTTGTTTCACCTTTCTCATTTCTTTAACAGGTCAGTGGTTCTCAAACTTTAGTGAGCATCCAAGTCCCCTACAGTGTTTTTTAGAGGGGAGGGCCGGGGGTACTGGGGATGAAACCCAGGGCCTCGTGCCTGGCTGGCAAGTGCTTTACCACTGAGTCACACCTCCAGCCCTGAGTGCTCATTCACATCACATATTCTTGGGCCCATTCTAAAGGGTTCTGAATGAGTGCATCTGTAGTACAACCAGGGAATAGCGCTGTAAACCAGCACCCAGATGGTTTTCATGTGAGTTGCCTTTCACGTGAGCACACTTTGAGAAACAGTCTTTTCTGCATTGGCTTACACAAGTATACATCACAGTTTTTAAAAACTAAATTGCATTTCAAAGCCACCTCAGAAGTTTGGGGTTTAAAACTACCCACAGCAAACCCTGTGTCAAACTGCTAAATAAAGTGAAGAATAATTCTATAACAAGGTTATAATCTTGGATTTCTACATGTTTTAATTTCTCAATGTAGGGCAACATTCTAGTTGCAAAGGTTGTAATTTTAAAAAAAATATACAAATTGGGGAGGGAAAGGGAAGATATTGGGGAATGAGATTGGTCAAATTGTTATGTGCATTTATAAATATAGCATAATGAATCCCACTGCAATGTAATGCACCAGAAATACAAAAATTGCAAAATTTTTTAAACATTTATTTCTTAGTTATAGGTGGACACAATATCTTTATTTTATTTTTATGTGGTGCTGAGGAGCAAACCCAGTGCCTCACATATGCTAGGCAAACGCTCTACCTCTGAACCACAACCCCAGCCAAGATTGTAAATTTTTAACTTATTCATAATAATTGGATACTTACCAAGAAATGCAGAGAAGTTTATCATGAATCCAAAAATACCACTCTCTGGAGGTGTTGTTCCTGTATCACTAGGAAAGAAATATGCAAATTATCAAAAAGAAGCTTGGTTCAGCCCTCTGGGTATGTAACAGGCAAATTTTGTATTGTGTTTCCAAGAAAAAAAATCAAGAACCAATAAATGGGATGGATTCCAACTAAAAAGATTCTTCTTAGTAAACAACCAATAACATGAAGAGAGCGACTACAGAATTGGGAGAAAATCTGTACCACCTGCACATCAAATAAAGCACTAATCTCCGGGATATATAAAGAACTCAAAAAACTTAACACCAAAAAAAAAAAAAAAATCCACAAATAACTCAATCAATAAATGAACTGAACAAACACTTCACAGAAAAGACATATAATCAATCAACAAATATATGAAAAATGTACATCTCTAGCAATTAGAGAAATGCAAATCAAAACAATTCTAAGATTTCATCTCACTCCAGTCAGAATGGCAATTATCAAAATACAAGCAACAATAAGTGTTGGCTAGGATGTGGGGAGAAAAGTACACACATACATTGCTGGTGGAAATGCAAATTGGTGCAACTACTCTGGAAAACAGCATGGAGATTCCCAAATGGAACCACCATTTGACCCAGCTATTCCACTCCTCAGTTTATACCCAAAGGACTTAAAATCAGCATTCTACAGTGATACAGCCACATCAATGTTTATAACAGCTCAATTCACAATAGCTGAACTATGGAACCTAAATGCCCTTCAACAGATGAATGGATAAAGAAAATGTGGTATATATACACAACGAAATATTACTCAGCCTTAAAGAAGAATGAAATTATGGCATTGGCAAATAAATGGATGGAGTTGGAGAATATCATGCTAAGTGAAGTAAGCTAATCCCAAAAAACCAAAAGCCAAGTGTTTTCTCTGATATGTGAATGCTGATCCATAATGGGGAGTGGGGAGGATAAGGAAGAATGGAAAAACTTTGGATTAGGCGGAGGGGAGTGAGAAGAGGGGAGAGGTGTAAGAATAGGAAGGACAATGGAATGAGACAAACATTATTACCCTTTGTACATGTATGATTGCATGAGCGGTGTGACTTTGTACTATGTACAGCCAGAGGAATGAGAAGTTGTGCTCCATTTGTGTAGAATGATTTGAAATGCATTCTGCTGTCATGTATAACTAATTAGAACAAATTAAAAAATTTTATATTGTGTTTCTTTTGGATGTTCAACAACATTGAATTCTGAGGGTGTGGACTGATTTTGTTCTAATGTATTTTCATTTGAGCACTGAAAAACCTAAAATTTATTTTTTCACCATTGAGAGATTACATTTTTTCCATAGCAAAAAAGCTAGGGGAAATGCTTAAAGTGAGTGGTGTTGCAGTTTCTCAAATGATGGAAACTCATACACTTGATATGCATTCATTCTTTGTAAAGAATTGAATTTTATATTGAAAATAAAAACTGAATATTTTACTATTGAGATATTAAATACAAAAACACCTTGATCTTTTAATGACTGGGTTTATGCACAAATTTTATGCTTCTGAAGACATAGTGATGAAAAGTTTGGCAATATTAGTGATCTCAACTAGTGCTTTATTGAAACAATGGGGTATATTAAGAATATATTGTGGTAAGTTATTTGAACAAAAAAGTCTCTATAAAATATTTTTTCAGGTACAGTCTTTTGATTAATTAGATAACTTGGGAAATAGCATTTGACATGTTCTATTTTCTATTCCTTATTGCCAAATTTAAAATTTTTATATTTTTAGGTTCCTCATAAGGAACTTTTCCAATGGAAAACTGAAGATAAAAGAGCTCTCAATTTGAAACAACTTGTACCCATTTTGAGTGTTTCCACATATAAAAATAGCTCCAAAATTTATGTGTTGAAAAACCAATCACATTGAAAAGACACACTTCAAAGTAGCTGAAGAATTCCAAGAGAAGCCTGTGTGTGCAGAACACTTAACATTCAAAGAGGAGCATAAAGAGGTCAATAGCCACCGCCCTTACATCAAATACTTTTATTCATAATTATTTCAATCTCAATGCCACCTGTCCCTGTAAGAATCTGAACATTCCCACTTTTCCTCATTTTTCACAATACAGGAAGTTTGAAGGAGAAAGTTCCACATGGGTGAGATGCCCTTCTGAGCATGGTACCAAGCGGGCACCCAGGAAGCGAGATGCAGTGCAGGGCTATGACCTTGGGCTGCACTTTTGCTAGATGATTAACTCTGGGAAGTCAAGCTTTTCTCTCTTGGCCTCAAGACATATAAAAACAGCAGCTACCAGGTTGAGTCATCCTGGAGTTCTTGTTACACATCTGTCACACCTCAGAGAGTCATGTGCCAGGGACAGAAGAGAGACAGCAATGTGCTGGGAAGAAGACTCTGAGTTTGTTTGTGAAGGAAGAAAAATGGAAGAATGATGGGATACTTAGGAAGATAGGTAGGTGAGTGAGGCCCTGAGTCTATCCCCAGTACCAAAAATAAATGAAGGAATGAATAAATCCATGTAGGACACAAAGCACATTGTAAATAGCCTTTCTATACATATTGTTTGAATGAATATTAGTACTGGAAAAACTGACCTAATGTATACCACTTACTGAACAATAAGTGTGTATCAGACACTGTTACGTGCTTATCATACACGATATAATTTTATCTTCATATCCCTGATAGGGATCCTATAACAACTACATTTTACTAAGGAATAAAATGGGTATTGGAAAGGTTATGTAACTTGTTCAAGGTCACGAGCTACTTAGAGGAATCTATATCCCAATTCGAATGTCTAACTCCTGACTCCCCAGCCTCTATTCCTGACTCCCTTGCCTCCAATGGCAGAGTGAGTGGTGGCACGGAACAAACACTGATGTGCTGGTGGATGTTTATCAGCTAGCTCTGAAGGGTGTCTGATTTGTTAGCATTTTCCAATTGCATGGTGAAAATACACCCAACATGTCAAAATGTGGGTTCCCAAAATGCAGGTCACTGAACATGTAGAAATAGATGCGCACCATTGTCTCCCTGGAGTAAATATCAGCTGACTCCAGAACACCTTGGGAATGAACCATTGTAGTAATGAAAAGGGGTCATTATGTCTTTGCTGTATAGCTACAAGACATAAACCAGGCAAGAATTTACACCTTCTCAAGTACTATAATGTAATTGTAAGTCCTCTTTTACAAACATTAGCATGGTAAATCTGTTTTTTTTTTCCAGCATCACTAAGTCTATAATGTCCACTATCAATGCATGAGTACCAAGGGGCTCACATTCTTATACCTTTGCACACAACATAGGCAGTGTCAATATAACAAGAACTGGGGGAAATACTCATGCACTGAATTCATAAATAGCTGTATGGTTAAACAGCCATCTTTTCAAAAGTTTTGACTTGGCTGTGCAAATCCCTATAAAATGAATTCATTTGTCAACAAATCATGTTAGATACCATCATCATTCATCAACAAAATATTGTTAGGCAAATCTGAATCACAAATTCCCAAATCTATCAGGTAAGAATGGTGAAAGTTTGGGGTTTATTTCCACTAAGTAACAAAACGGTACCTAATTACATTAGCTGAAATTTTGCTCCAGAATATTTCATTGAAACTTTCCAAGCAACAATGAAATGTGGAGACTTTTAAGAACTTTTTTTTTTTTGGTGGGGGAGTTGCTGGGATATAAACCCAGGGATACTTAACCACTGAGCCACATCCCTAGCCTTCATTTTTTTAAATTTTGAGTTAAGTTGCTCAGGCTGGCTTTGAACTTAGGATCCTTCTGCTTCAGCCTCCTGAGCAGCTGGAATGACAGGCGTGCACCACCGCGCCTAAGTATCTAAGAACACTTAAGAACAGTATTAGTTGTCCATTGCCATTAATAAAAATGGTAGGGCTCTTAACTCTTACTGAAAAATGTTCTTATAAGTTGGTTTCTGATCTTATGTATTACATAATTAGTAAACACTGAGTCACATCTTCTGCTAATGTTGGAATCCAAATAAGCATAACACCAAGCAGGTAACCAAGAGATCCTGTGGGTTGCCTCATTTTTACTTTTTAAAGCTCAAGCTAAATGATGCCATCATGTGAAGGCCGAACTGTAGTACAGTCAGCCCATCATATCTGCGGGTTCTGTTTATCTGTGGATTTGACCAACCCAAAATATTTTTAATTGCATTTGTACTGGACATGTACAAACTTTTTTCCTTGTTGTTATTTCCTGAAAGCTACAGCATAACAACTATTTACACAGCATATACAATGTTCTAGGGGTAATGAGTAAACCAGAGATGATTTAAAGTGTACTAGAGGATTGTGCAGGTTGTGTGTAAATAACCCATCATTTTATACAAGGGACTTGAGCGTCCACAGATTACGGTACTCTCCAAATTTGGTATCCAGAGTGAGTCCTGGACCCAATCCCCAATAGATACCAAGGAACTACTGTATTGGGTTGCTTAGCTGTACCTGGGTGCTTGATTTAGGAAATTGGAGAAAAAGTGAAAGGCGAAACCAGTTGCTTCCCAATCTGGCAGAAGTAGTCACTCCACCCAGCTCCCACACACTGTTCTGTATCCCATGGTTGCAGCAGTGTGGTTGGCCCTGCCCCAGTCCCACCAACCACCTGGCTGGCTGCCTTTTTAAGGAGGGGCTTCTGAAACTGAACCAGGGATGAGGAGAGCAATTATTCCTTTGCCTGTACTTTTTAGAAGCTGTTGAGGCTGGTATGTGTACACAGTTGTTTCAGGATATGTTGTGCCTGGGAAATCAATTTATGTCTACATTTCCCGTATTTACATTTCCACAAGGTAAGCCAACTGTGGAAAATTACAAGTAATTCATGTAAGATCCTTCTCCAAACTAATTTATGATGTCAAAGCAGTAGTACATTATTACTTAATGCTCAAAGGAATGAGCACAATAGAACAAAGAAAAATACCTGATAGTATAGAACTTTCCCAAGCTTGGACAACTGCTAGGGTGTTTGGTTTGGTTTGGTTTGGTTTGGTACTAGGGATTT